CTGGTTGACAATATAGAACCCAAGCTGAGGGGTCCCTAACAGCTTAGAGGACTCTACCACCTATTCACACAGCCTCAGAGAGACCAAAACTAGCCGTCCCAGTGGTACTTCCAGAATGGTACAGTGAGAAACTTGGCAGATCTTCCTCCCTACAAAACATTTAACTGGGAAAAAATATTTTTAAAAAATCACTTACAGTCTCTCAAAACTGTCCTAAGGGCATACAGCAAGCGGAGAAACATTCATTCAAGAAAATATACTAAATTTAAGTTAGAATAATGAGAGTCTGTAGCATTTGGCCATCACCTGCTTCCTTCTCCCATCCCCAACTGCACGTTATAGAAACTCTATTATGGCCACTCCACTCCAAGAGGACTAGGTCCCCATTCCTCTACTCAGCCCCTACTTGTATGGTGGAAGTCCTACCCCAAGTAAAGCCATGAGAAAACTGGGACCCTGATCACTGCTATCTTAGCTCATTCATAGGCAGAGGTCTCATGCTGGGAGAGGCAAGCTGAAAAGACCAGTAGCTACCACCATCCCCTTCTAGCACCTGCCAGGGATATCACTCTGGGGAAGCAGGCCACTATCACTATGCCTAGCTCCTGGGAACTCCCAGGGAAGAGGCAACCCAGGAGGATGAAGAGCTTTGCGGTTCTTAACCAGGGTAGTGACTTTATTTGGAACAGAACATAGAGAATCCCATGCCTAAGGGTGTTGTTGGAAACGATGGAGAGCTTGGTAGAGAACAAGTTAGGGGGTACTGGTAGCTTTATGATACTGCTAACAACAAGCAAAATGGCAGAACAATCAGAAGTTTAACAAAAAGAAACAGGGAGGAAAAAGCGACCAAGAAAAACCCTCCCTGGATCACAATAAACCCTGGGGGTTGGGAAGGCTATCCACATGGTCCTACTTAGGAACAATCAAAAACCGGACATGGGTCAGATTGAAAACATTTTCCAAGCTGCACACAGATCCATCAACAAAGGGCAGAAGCCTTACAGGCACAAGAGGCTTAAGCACAACCTCTAACCAAATACTGGCTGAAAAATACGCTATTCTGACACAGGGGAAAATATTATTAAGCTAGGCTTAATAGATAGATTGATACAGATTATGCAATCTGAAGAACAGAGAGAAAAAAGTGGAGAACAATGAGCAGAGCCTCAGAGAAATGTGGGACACCTTTAAGTGCACCAACATACTCATAATGGAAGCACCAGAAGGAAAAGAGAACAAAACAGGGATAGAAAATATATTCATAGTAAAAAAAAGCTGAAAACTTCCCGAATTGATGAAAAACATTAATCTATACATGAAGCTCAACAACCTCTAAGCAAGATAAAAGCAAAGAAATTCCCACCTACATATGTCAAAATTAAAATGTTGAAAACGAAAAATAAAGAAAAAAATCTTGAAATCACTAAGAGCAAAATGACTTGTCACAGGAGCATACCTCATTTTATTGTGCTTTGCAGATACTGTGTTTTTTACCAATTGAAGGTTGTGGCAACCCTGTGTTCAGAAAGTCTGTTGGTGCCATTTTCCCAACAGCATTATTTCTTATTTAAGGTATGTACATTGTTTTAGACATACCGCTATTACACACTTAATAAACTATGGTATAGTGTAAACATAACTTCTATAAGCACTCGGAAACCAAAAAATTCATGTGACTCGCTTTACTGCAATACTCACTGTATTACAGTGGTCTGGAACCAAACCAAATATCTCCAAGGTATGCCTGTACAGGGGAATTCCAGTAATATTAACAGCTAACTTCTCATCAGAAACAATGGAAGCCAGAGGACAATGGAATGACAAATTCAATGTGTTGGAAGTAAAAAGCTGTGAATCAAGAATCTTATAACCAGTAAAACTGTGTTTCAAAAATGAAGATTAAATAAGGAACTAAATATGGATGAAAGCTTAGAGAATTCTCTGCTAGTGGACTGGCTTTGAAAAACAAAGAAACTAAAGAGAGTTCTTCAGGCAGAAAGCAAATGACACCAAACAATAATTTGAATCCTTATCCTCACAAAAATAAAAATAATTGTTAGTGGATACTATAAATAACTGTATGCCAAAAAAATTACATAATTTATATAAAATTAATAAATTCCTAGAAAGACACAAACTACTAAAACTGACTCAAAAAGAAATAGAAAATCTGAATAGATCTATACCAAGGAAAAATATTGAAGTAATAATTAACAATCTTCCCACAAAGAAAATCCCAGAACCAGATGGCTTCACTAGTGAATGCTACCAAAAACTTAAAAGAATTAATACCAATCTTTCACAAACTCTTCTGAGAAACAGAAGACAACATAATACTTTTCAACTTATTCTTTGAGGCCAGAATTACCCTGATACCAAACCAGACAAAGACATCACACAAAAAAAATAAAACTACAGGCCAATATCCCTTATGAATATACATGTAAAACTGCTCAACGAAATACTAGTAAACTGAATTCAGTAACATATAAAAAAAGATTATACACCATAACCAAATGGGATTTATCCCAGGAATGCACGGTTGGTTTAACATCTGAAAATCAATTAATGAAATACATCCAGTTCAATGGGGAAAGAATAGTCTTTGCAACAAATGATGCAGAGACAACTGAATGACCACAGCAAAAGAAAAAAGTTGGACTCCTACCTCACACCTAAAATTAACTCACAGACCTAAATATAAGAGCTAAAATTATAAAACTCTTGGAAGAATAAATAAAACTCTTAGGAATAATCTTTGTGACATTGGTTTAGGCAATGGTTTCTTAGATATAACACCAAAAGCACAAGCAACAGAAAAAAAATTAGATAAATTGTGCTAATTCAAAATTAAAGACATTTCTGCAGCAAATACTACCATCGAGAAAGTTTTAAAAAAAAATCCATAGAATGGGAAAGAACCTTAGTAAATCACGCTGATAAGAGACTTCCAACCAGAATACATGAAGAGCTTTCACAATTCAATAATAAAAATTCATATAGCACAGTTAAAAACTGGCCAAAGGATGTGAGTATACATTTCTCTGAAAAAGATACACAAATGGCAAATAAGAACATGGAAGGATGCTCAACATCATTAGTCATTAGAGAAGTGCAAATAAAAACCACAATGAATATCACGTCATACCCACTAGGGCAGCTGTAACCAAAAAGACGGATAACAAGTGTTGACAAGTATGCGTAAAAATTAGAAAACATCAGTGAAAATGTACAATGGTCCAGTCACTTTGGAAAACAGTTTGGCAGTTCCTCTGAAGGTTAAACACAGAGTTATTATATAACCAAGCAATTCCACTCCTCGGTACATATCCAAGAGAAATGAAAATATATGTACATACAAAGACTTATGCATGGATGTTTATAGCAGCATTATTCATAATAGCCAAAAGGTGGGAAAAAAAAACAAATGTTCATCAGCTGATCAACGGATAACTAAAATACGGTATATCTGTAAAATGGGAAATTATTCAACAATAAAAATGAATTAAGCACTGATACATGCTACAACATGCTACATGAAAGAAGCCAGTCACAAAAGAAAATATAGTGTATTATTTCATTCACGTGAAATATGCAGAATAGGCAAAATCCCTAAAGACAGAAAGCAAATTAGTGGCTACCTAGGGCTTAGGAGGGTGGTAGGAAAGGGATGGAGCATAACTGCTAATGAATATAAAGCTTCTTTTGGGGGTGACGAAATGTTCTCTGATTAGATAGTGATGGTGGTTGCACAATTCTATGAGTATATTAAAAACCACTGACGTGCACGTTTCAAATGGGTGAATATTATGGTATGTGAATTATATCTCAATAAAGTGTTTTGTTTTGGGGGGTTTTTTGGCTGGGCCGTGAGGCATGTGGGATCTTAGTTCTCTGACCAGGGATTGAACTGTCCCGTACCCCCTGCAGTGGAAGTGCGCAGTCTTAACCACTGGACCCCCAGAGAAGTCCCGATATCTCAATAAAGATGTTTTTAAAAAGCTGACCATCTGCTTCTCTACTGGGTGTTTCTCTTGGCTTTAGAGAAGGCCAAAAGTTTCTATAAACTTTTTAAAGAAGCTCAACTAGCTTTTTTTGATAAACTAAAGTTGACCCTTGAACAATGCAGGTTTTAACTGCACAGGTCCACTTACACGTGGATTTTTTTTCAACAGTAAATACAACAGTACTACGTGATCTACGGCTAGTGAATATGCAGATGCAGAAACTCACGGATACAGAAGAAGCAAACAGTATAGATGGAGGGCTGACTGTAAGTTATATACGGATTTTCAACTGCGTGGAGGGTTGGTGCCCCAACTCTCACGTTGTTCAAGGACCAACTGTAGTTCCTTTGCCATAGGAATATAGTCTGTGAATACATGCACAGTCCATGAATAGTCGAATACCAACTGATAGCTCACTGTTGACTGGTTTTATATCCCTGATCTAAGCATTTACATTGTCTGATGCGGCTGAGCCAGAGTGCTGATAAGTAAAGATAGAACTCCACCCTAGACAACCCCTTGCATTAGAGACCTCAGGTTCTGTAAAAATAATTGCCTCAAATCAATTCAATGTGCAAGGCTCTGTCCCATATTTCATTAATTCTAAGAAATTCTGTACACTGAGGCCACTTGGAAGAAGCCATAGTTTTTATAACCTATTTACATATATCTCAATTCTCTACAGAATGATACTAATGTTATATACTAGATAGAAATTATTAAGTGATACAGTTCATAAGTATCATGGACCAATAGCTGTAGATGCTTCATTTTAAAAAGTGACGCTTTCAGAAAAGAAAGAGAGGAAAAAAAGGAAGAAAAAAGGAGTATAAGAGTAAAGAACTCAAGCCAATGGAATGCAAAATGATTATATCTTCCTCTTTATCACCCAGTTATAATATGAATCATGCACACTATAATCAGTTATGTCACATGGCATTAGTTTTAACAAAGAACACAGCAAATTGACTTGAAAAGGCAAAATAATACCTTCTGGGGGCGTCCCAATGCTGCTGCCAAGACCCAAAACTGCCATCTTGTGAATTCTCGGCTCCAGCATCACAGCAGATTCTTCTCCCCTTTCCCAGTGGGGTATTTTGACAGGCTCCAGGTGGACATTCTCCAGCCCATCTTCCTGCAGGTTTTGGTGCATGATTTGGATGGCTTTTTCTAGGCTCTTGGAACCACTGAGCCTGGGTCCAACAGTGTCAACCAGAAGTGCCAATCGCTCATAGGATCTGTTCCGGGCTTTCCCATAAACAGCAAGGTTGATGATCGCTTTAGCAACATCTCCATAGCGGGCTATTTCTTCTTTTATTTCTTGAAAAGTCCTCTGAGAGATGCCATTCCCATAGACAGCTTTCCCAGAGTTCAGGGGTAAAAAGTGAACAACACCAACAAATACGAAGACATGGAACTTCATTTTTTTTTCCCAGTCTGTTTTCTTCCTAAAATAATCTAGGTAAGTAAGAAATATGTGTTAGGGGAAAAGAATCTCACAGCTATCTGCCCATAACCCAGGGACTGCTTTTCAAACAGGATTCCCCTTCCCTTCTCAACTGTTGCCCAATTTCTACCATCAAATTCAGGCACCATAACTCCCAGGAATGAAGAAGAAAAGAGGCAATGATTGGCCTTATTGACAAGGTAACATGTATTAAAACCACAAAATCACATGTTACCTAGCAATCAGTTTAAAATATGCTAAAAGATTAAAATAAGAAGATAACTAGGAAAGAGAGGAAGAAATAGAGGTAGCAGTGATAGGGCTAGGGCAGTGTTACCCCTTCTTCTAAACACAGTATGATCCAAATGTTTCAGAGTTCCCTCTACCTGATATGCTCTCTCCTGTTTGCCTATTGAACTTATCCTTCGAGGCCCTTTCAGAGACGTCATCTCTTCTTGACGCTCTCCCTAACCCCAACCCTTCCACATTTAATCCTCACAACAGTTCTATGAAACAGTTTCTTTTTATTGCCTTCATTTTAGAACTGAGGATCCTGGGGTAGTGAGAGATTAAGTAACTTGCCAAAGACACACAAAGGCTTTCCAGCCCTAGAGACCACGCTGTAAACAGTGCTAAAAGTATGTTTGTGGACCCATGCCAGTCCACAATTGTTTTTCACAAGTCCACGAAAGACAAACACAAAGATTAAGAGTAAACATATTCAGTAATGTGCAACACAGTAGCCAATAGTCCAATGTGGTTATTACAATTTAAATTAAATCATCAGCTTCTCAGCCATACTAGCTGCATTTCAAATGCTCAATGGCCACATGGGCTAGTGGCTGTTGTATTGGGCAGCACAGAAAGAACATTTCTATCATCATAGAAAGTTCTGTTGAATAGCACTGGCTTAGACAGATAACTGACAGAACAACTATACATCTGTCAAATCTAACGACTAAAAAATGATGCTTCGTTTTACTTTTCTACTTCACTATTATATTTTTCAGAAGCATCAGTCTGCAACAAATTCTAAATTTAAAAATCTGGTCCTTCACCACAGATAAATAATTTGAGAAGCACGGTCATAAACTACTATATAAGTATAAACTCCAAATTCAGGCAGCATACAAGGCCTTTCAAAATATGGTTCCAACAACCACTTCAACCTCATCTCTCTACCTGCCCCTCTAGAGTGAACACATTTTCATTCTCATTCTCATTTCTTCTCTCTCTCCCTCTCTCTCCCTTTCTCTCTCTCTCTCACAGGCACACACACATAGCACTTGAAATGTGGCTAGTCTAAACTGAGATGTCTTGTACGTGTAAAATATACACCTGATTTGATCTTCAAAATCAATTACTTCATATTTAAGTGTAAAAAAACATAAATATTTCAGATATATTGGATTAAATAAAATACATGATTATTAATCTCACCTATTTCTTTTTACTTTTTAATATAGCTATTAGAAATTTTTAACTTACATAATATTTATATTGGACAGTAATGTTCTAGCTGCACTGAACTGGACCCTGTTCTTCAACTACCCAGGCCCTTTTATAACTCTGGGTCTCTACATATGTTCATTCCCTTTTATTGCAAGGCCCCTCTCTTCACCCTGGCAAACGTCTATAATGAGAATGCATTAAAAATCACCTCTTCTGTGAAGCCTCACCAAACAATACCCCAGAGGTACGTGCACCATTTTCTGTGTTTCTACCATAATTAACTATATTATCAACAAATATATTTGTTTATAAATCTGTCTCTCCTGCTCTCAAAGTCAAATAGGATAAATTATTCATCATTGTACCCATATATAGGCACTCTATACCTTTTTAAGAAGGAACGAATAAGCATTTAATCTCTCTAGGTCTCACCTCCATAGAGTATAAGAGTACTACTTATCTTGCCTCCTTCACAAGGAAGCTGTAGGAATTAAAATCTTGCGATCATATTTTAAATATTTTGAAAAATTATAAAAACTATACATTGCTGCTGCTTTCTTTTTTATTATAACTACAGTTGACCCTTGAGTGACACAGGCTTGAACTTCCCTGGTCCACTTCTACACAGGTTTTTTTCCCATAAATACTACAGTACTACAAGATCTGAGATTGACTGAATCCGTGGATGCAGAACCAGATATGGAGCGCTGACTATGGGACTTCAGCATCCACAGAGGATCCTGGAACCAATACCCCTCCTTGTTCAAGGGTCAATGCATAGGTTTTTCGTTTCTACAGTTACCATACTGATGCTTGTGTTAAAACCTAAATTTTATTAAGCAATCAAAATATTTCACCAGATTGCAATTTATTCTTGAAAGTACATTTTTCCAATATATTTGGAAAAATGTTCTTGGGGCAAAAAAAGAAAAAAAGGTTAATAAGCCATCTATTAATTGACACTAAACACAAGTATCTACTTCTCATTAAAAGTTCTGTAAGCCTTCTGCAACCATTAATTAACGATTTCATAATACATTTCTAGTGATGGATTAGAATCATATTATGACAACATTGTAGAGAACAGGAGAGCTTAGGGATCCCCAGTCCATATCCTCGTTTCATAGAAAGTTAATCAAGGCCTGCGTTGTGATTCCTAGGCAGCAGACAAACCAGCAACTACAATTAACCAGGTAAGTGGACCAGCTAGCACATACTTTCTAAAGGATTAAGAATAGTTTTCTTCTAGGAAACTATATGCATTTACATATAATAGAAATTCAATGAAGGATGCCCAAATGCAGTCTGAGAAGCAAATACCTATAATAAAATACATGTATACAGAGTGGCATCAGAACAAAGAGAAGAACAAAGGGGATCATGAAAAGCTATAGAGAAGACATAACATCTCAGGACAGGCTCAAGAAATGGCTCTGCAGGCAGAAAAGAGTGAATGGTATCCCTCAGAGCGCCACTAGAACATCATCTGTACGTCACATCCTGGTTAAAAGATATGTCCAGAAAATAACAGTGCCTGAGTCTATCATCTTTACATCTTTTTGCGTATATGTCAATTGAATTAACAGATAACACATCATTTTGATAATAATATTTAATGCTTCTTAACATGGTCAGTTAAATTAATTTTGACTCTAAAAAATGATACAATTACTTTAAAACAGAATTCGTATCCGCGAGTGTTGTTCTGAGTATCTTAACTATACTGTTTCTTCAAATCCCACAAATGCAATAAGTGCTTATTTTTAAAAGTAGGTTAATTTAAAAGGTGATGGTTTGTTACCTTTCAATGGATCAGTTTTTCCCTGAGTATAAAGTTTACTAAGATCAAAGGCACAAAACAATGCATTACATGAGATATCACCCAGAACACTTGACACAAGTAAACACTAAATACATGTTAGTTGACTCTAAACCTAGTTTTCTCTGGAGTATAATCTCAAAATTACCTATGTAATTCTTGGCTAGAATGCATAATTATATATCTCTCCAATGGAGCACTATAAGAATCTTTTTTTATTATTATTACTTTTAGAAAGGTACATTAGTCCAAGATGTGTTTTCAGTAATAAAGGGTAGAAAATAATAATTATAACTAACAGTCTATATTTGAGGAGGTAATAAAAATGGAACAAGATATTGCTATATCAAATTCCAGTCGAGAAGAAAACCAAAATATAATATGTAATTTTAAAACACAGGGACTATAGGTAATTTGTACAAATCTGATACATAATTTGTACATTCCTAGCAAGAAACAGAGAATTATAATAAAAATTAAAATAGTGAAATATACAGACAGAATAAGATTAAATAAAAGCCAAAAATGAAGGACAACTTGAAGAAATTCTCTCCTAATTCACAGATTTAGGATCACCATACAACAAGAAATTCATTCTAGAACTGGAGTCAATCCAAGTGACAGGATGATCAAAGACACCAGTATATTTGCATGAAAGGACTAAAACACTAGCCCTCCCCAGTGTGAAAAGACAGGCCAAAAGTAGAACTATTTTGTTGCATAAAATCAAGAAGGGTTTGGAAAACATGAATACAGATTTACTCGCCATATCTTTTCATACTTGTACCAGGGAATAGCCCTAGTGGCTCAGAGGTAATTTTAGGAAAATCAAAATGTACAGTTTTACACAGTAAGTGATAAACATGTAAACAGTTTCCCTAAGAAAAAAAAGAGGATTTGGATAATATCATGAATGATACAGTCATTGGAGCTGAACCCTTTTAAATCTACCACACAACATTGGCACCACACTGACCTAAGTATAGTTTCCTATGGGATCACCAGGAGGGTTTGCTGATCTGAAAGACTGTTAGTCTGCCCTAGCTCAGAGATAGAAAATGTCCCTATACAGTCATTTCAGTCAAATAAAATTAAGCAAGCTATAGTATTTTTCTACAGTCTGCAAAGGGAGCAAACAATTCCACGGTGATCAACAAAGACAAATAGAATTACTGATCTCAAACATTTCCCCTTTATAATTGCAAATGGTGCTTTGTTTTGGGTCATAACTTCATTTCTCCAGTCATTTAACAAAGATGTATTGAGCACCTTACCTACCAAGCACCAAAGACACAATTTATAAGATAATATCCATACCCTCAAAGAGCCGCGAAGTATAATAGAGAGACAGATAATGTGAAAACCCTACAACTGAGGTGGTTACAAGCTTCTGTGAAAACAAACTGGAGGAGGGGATTAGGAGGAGATTCCTGATGGCGTGTGAAAAAGGCGAGAGTGGCACTGAAAGAACGATAACCCAACAGAAAAAAACAAACCGTGCAAAGACATGGAGGCTTTACAAAACTTGGGCTATGGAGAAAATGGCAAGGAGTTGGATGATAAGTAGGGGGAAATGGTGGAAGATACAGCAGTGATGCAAGGAATTATTCCCCAAGGTCTGACTAAAAAGGTCTACTGTGTGAAGCTTCAAAGTGGAACACAAACCCCCAGGGCACTGTAACAGGGGACTTAATGAACAGTTCCC